GCCCGGCGACCAACACCAACCACTAGAAAAGGAGCAAAACTGGAGATCCTGGATAGAGTGGGAGGAAAAACGTGGAAAAAAATCCAAAAACACAGCAACAACGAGAATTACTGATCAGATGGACTCTAGTGGGACCCCCAGTAACTATGGCCTTGGGATTCCCTTTGGGCCTGGAATAAAACTCACTTCCAGGGGCTGGCTCTCAGCCCAATAGTAAATAAGATGTACACATAGACCACTCAACCCAGAGTGACACACTCACATACTCTATGGAGATGCTTCCCTTGGAACAATTGACCACAGGGCACCAGAGGGGCAACATTATCACATAGGAAATGCAGGGCATGCAGAAGTGCATAACTATGAGGGGCATGGGGTGGGGGTTACTGAGCAGGGAGGGGAGGAGCATGGGTAGGGTTGGGGATGCTAAAAGAATGAATAATCTCAAGCAGGATAAATCAAAAGAGACATACACAAAGATATAGAACAGTTAGGCTCTCAAAAAGTAAAGATAAAGAGACAATCCTGAAAGCAATGAGAGAGAAGCAGTCGCATACAAAGGATCCCCAATAAGATGAAGTGCCAATTTCTCCTCAGAAATACTGGAGGCCAGAAGGCAATGGAATGATACATTAAAAGTGCTGAAAGATAAAAAATGTTAACCGAGAATACTATACCCAGTGAAACTATCCTTGAAATATGAGGATGAAATTAAAACATTGTTAGATAAACAAGCTGAGAGAGTTCATATCCACCACAAAAAAATACTAATGGAAGTTCTATAGATGTGAGGGGAAAGACACTAGAAAATAATTCAAAGCTATAAATGAAAAGAAAGACCCTTAATAAAGGGAAGTGCATGAACAAGAACAAGACTAGTAATAAAGTACTCATGCTTGATCATTGTGTTATCCTTCATGTTTTTTTAAAAACTCGTATATAAAAAGCAAGGATAAAATTATGTTATAGGGCACATGAAATATAAACACATAATTAGTGATA